GACTGCATGGTCTAGGAAGTGTACATTTTTTTATGGGACAAGTTTCCAAGGGCAGGTTTTCTAGGAGCGAGTTCACTGCCAAAGAGTGTTGCCAAAGTGCGAGCCAGCATGTTATTTGATCACAAGTGCGAGACATATCACAAGTGTGAGCCAGCGAGCCATGACGTCACGACAATAGATAGAGACGTTAGCCAGTTGTGCGAGGTATCGGCTGAGATTTGTGGAGTACAATTCAAAAAACAACTATAGGTCTAATAATGAATTATTGTGATGTTAAATAGACAATGTTAGCTGTCAAAGAGCGACATTGTTTTTCATTGGGACCTTCGTCTTCAAGGAGGCCTATACCATCCTAGCTAGTCTAGGCCTAGAGTAGGATAAGGCTAGCGCGACATGTGGACGTCGGTACGAGTAGGTTAGTCTACAAACGTCGCCTAAAGTAATTGATTTTACCCGACGATAGAATGAAACTCCGCTTTTCAGTCATCTTAGGCAATCGTTTTTTGACAAACAATGACCTTTCAGAGGTCAAATTGCTGTCAAGAATATGAATTGGCTGCTTCGCAGCAAATAGAAATGACATGCTGTTGCCTTCCCATCCCATGGCTCCTGGGTTAATCTGCAGCAGGGGTTTTCTCACGACTAAATCAGCTCCAGTCCCTAACCTTCATAAAGTCTATAAGCCTTTATTCTATCCTCTAATTGTGAGTTAATTGCTGTTGGAAGTGAAACTACTAACTTACTGGTATTAAAATATTTTTAATTAATAATATTCTAAGGCCTAATAAAGTTACAGTAACCTAATTGTTTAACCTAGTTTATATATTATTTACTGTGCTGTGATTTCCAATTTGCAACCTACAAGCTTATCTAGAACCATAGGTCCACTATATGTTTGAGCATATCAGTCAGTTGTACATCAGAGAAAATCGAGGGGAGAAGGGGTTATATCTGCACATTTGTTAAATAGATGTGAAAAAAAATATAATATTTCAGCACTGCTTTATTTTACATCTATTTTATATCAAATCAATGTCGCTTAAAAGAATGTTATTTTAACAATATTTCTTTTCTGTTGTAAAAATAATTTCAAATAACACAATTCAGTCATAGGTTAGATTCCCACCAAAGACCTAGTATTACTACTAGGGTCAGGAGCTAACCGTTAGCACCCATGTGAGAAAGCCCAATGGGTCAGCATTAGCCATTACAAGGATCTAGATACACTAATGGTTAGCAAGCTCTATTGGTCAAGCTCTTTTCTATCATTAACCAATCACAACTACACATTTCCAATTTTCAGTTTCCTACTGGCCAGTGATCCCACCATCTTGTTATCTTATACCTGATTCACACGTGAAGTTAAATTTAACAAAAAGTAACAAATTGTAACCGAGCGATCTCCCGAGTTATTCCTACCGAGATAAAAAGCATTCACACGCGTTTTTAAGGTAATGCCAAGGTCGTGTAAAATTTACTCAATGTTTATTCAATGAATCATTTTTTCCCCTACTGCGATATAGGTCTAGCCTATGCCTAGTTGAGAACCACTGTCACAGATTTTACAAGGATATTACACGGAGGTACTTTCACACATGCCGTAAAATGTTACTTTTCGTTACATTTTGTTACATTTAGTAAGATTTTTGTACGTGTGAATCGGGTATTAATCAGGGATTTTCTTGTATGAACTTATGGGTAAGTGCGTATGTTATTTATCTGAATCTTACTGTCAGCTGGTGTGGGGGTGTGGGTGTGTGGGTGTGAAAATAGCCCAGACCTGTCCTCACATACACTATATACCCAACTGGCTTAGATTAATTTTCCCACTTTCTTACCTTTTCCTCTCAACTTACTGAGCACCACTTTGTATTCATTTTCATCGATGTACGTCATCCATTCATCTATGAACTCCAGCTGATGTTCCTCTGGTACTAATAATTTTGCTAAATCTTTGAGGAGCTTTCCGCTAGAATGTATTTCCCATAGACTCATCAAAGCATTAGGATCATTTGTTGATACATAAAATACTAATGATCCTTTTCCAAACTTGTTCAGCTTTAAACTATAAGGTTCAAAATACTATACGTGAAAATGTTCTCATGTCTGTCAAAAAATTCTGGCATATCGCTGGCGGCCAGGGAGCCTTTATGTTCATCAAGTTCGATTAAAAATTTAAGGGCATACATCTTAGAATGTGGTTGACCTTCAGAATCAGATGATTCTCTTTTGCGCTTGCGAATTAATTTTAGAGCAATTTCTAAAATAGAAAAAAAGTAATATATATTAAATCTATAATTATTAAACAATCTAGCATATAATTTACTTCAACTGGTCAGCCATCAACAATATCTGTGCTGTAGAAAGAAAATGAGAATTATAACATCCACTTTGAGAGTTGTTTTTTGAGCAAACAGTATTGTTTCTACAGTATGTTAGATCATAGAGGCATAAAAATGTTCTCCAATGTTAAATGAATGGGAGATGTTGGTTATTCCTGTAGGCTGTGTCCATGTTGCCTTAACTTGATTTGCATATATTTCATGTTCATCTGTTTTGATTATTTTGACAATAATTGTCTGATCTTTGATCACAGATTCCTCTCCTTTTAATGTTAGCCTGCTGCCCTCAATTCTGTTACAGTCCCAACATCACATTGTGTCAATGAAGCCATTTGCTGTTTGTTTACACATGGAAGTAAAATTTTCCATTATCATCTGGCTCTGTTTTTGGCAATTCATTTATGTAATTACTCTTTCACTTGACTGCATTGCTGTGCCTTCATCACTCTTTATTAATTGATTAAGAAAAGACAATTTTGTATTTACAGTATACCAGATAGTGTTACTTATATATTAATTCATTCATTTGTACATCATTTACCATATTCTTTTTTTTGTAAATTGTCTCTACTTCATTTTTCATTTTGTCTCTATTCTCTTTTACTTTTTTGAATATTTCTTATGCGTGATTGTCTATATCTCTTCACAAATGTGTCTTTATTTTGTTTTAATGTTGTAGCATTCTGAATAACAGCTTTGAGACCATCTTTTAATTTGTTTTTCTAAAGTGGCTGAAGTTTCTTTAAATGTTTGGAATGTGTCTGAAATGTTGATTGATTTGTGTTTTCCATCCCATGCATTGTGGTCCATAAGTATACAATTCACACAGATTTGAGTTTTACAATTTGTGCAGTAGAACTCCAAAGGTTTACTGATGTGAACACAGAGGAGGCTAGATGAATAATAATAATATTAAACTTTAATGTAGCTCATAATGTCAAAATGCTTCTATAAAAGATTACATGTTTAATGGACAATAATTTATTTGATATTGTAGCAATTTTTTTACCTTTTAATCTGTAAGTGCATTTTAAAAATTAATGGTGTGATTTCCACCTGATATTTCCAACACTAATATTATTATTTTCTGAACAAATTTCACCTACAAGATTTTAATCTAACCCCATGACAAATATGTGTATTTGTAGGGAGTAGAGGCCAATGATAATATTGTACTTATAGTGATGGTTTAAGTAGCATGCAGAGGTGAGCTAGAATTATTGCTTGCCCTAGGAATATATTTAGTACACAAAAATGGTGACCTAGAAATTATATTCTAACTTGGTCTCCTAGAAAAGTTTAACAATTGATTGAAAAAATTAGTCCTCAAAATCTGTCATCTTTCTCCACACATTACTTGGACTCGGCAGCAGGAAGAAGAAAGGCAGTTGCACGATTGGAATTGGTGGTGTAACCCTCTTTGGGTGCTAGCTTGGTGTGTGTTTTTTTTTTTCTCCTTGCTTTTTATTCAACATTCTTTTGTTGTCTACCTATTTTCTAGTGCAGAGACTTGTTTATTATAAAAATTCATCTATTTTTATCATGGTAATTTTAATGTAAAATTTTGCATGGTGCTGAAGATCTTGATTCTATCTGGTTTAAAATTTCAACATAGGACTAGAAGGTCAACTTCAAACACGAGGTTATCAACCAGAAATCTTCATGAAAATTTGAGTTAACTATCATTAGAGGCTATTGCTTTACAAAATTCTGGTAATAAGAATGTTTTCATATATGCTAGAAGCTATTATCTCAGATACAAGAATATTTTGATTCAGTATTTTCTGAATAATTAAGATACAGTAAACCCTTGAAAAACACACATTTTCTGATTGGAGAAACTTCACATATGCACCATATACACCTTATTTATTGGATCTATTGTACTGAACAATATAAATTAATAGAATATTTTCTTTAAAATTCTCTCTTAAACGTTAGGTGTGCTTGAAGTGTCCCAAACAATAGAAGTGGGTTTTTCCAGACCTTTTACTTTAGTCTCGTGATCTAGTATAGGCTGGTTTCCGTGGTGAGTGCAATCAAATGTAATTTGAGGAAATCTGCAGTCATTCAGTGGCTTTGAATTTCAATAGGGGATTGGTATATTCCTTCCTAATAATGTGACAGAGTCAGGAACTATTGACATAATTGATTGGTCATCTTTTAACATTTTTTTTTAACCAAATTCTTGTTTTCCCAATTCAACCACCAGAAGAACCCCACTAGAAATACATATATTTTTTCACTTTTTAATTGAAATTACCATTATTGGTGATCCTGAAACAAGGAGGAAAGTCTTGCCAAATGTACAAATAATGCAAAATTTATATTCAAACTCAAACCTTCTGTAGAGTATATGCAATAGTCACTTTAAAATGTACCTAGCCAGAATAGAGAAACAGTTATTAGGAAGTGTATTCTGGTATTTTTTTAAATATAAAATCACTGGTATGTGCTTAAAAAAGTGAATTGTGTACAATTATTTAAAAGTACAATGAAAAAAGAAACCAAATGAATGAAACAATGAACAATAATTAGAAACATTTGATTAAAGGCTCATGAAAAATATGTATAAAAACAACATGCTGTATTTTTGGCCGTTAACAGAACTGGTCCGGTTATAAATCCTGCTGGTTTGTTGAATAGTGAAGAGTTCTTAAATTATTTATTGCCACTGAAGCCCATGAGATGAAGTGAGTGATTCTAATGGGTTTCTTATTTACATTTCAATGGCTATATGTTGCTGGCCATGACTCTCTTGTAAACTCCCAATGGACATTCTTAAAACCAATTAAAGTTAAGTTTATGGAGCTGCTAACAGCTCCCTCTGGACCATTTAACAGCTCACTCTCAACTATCAGACAGCTCACTATGGACCATTTCTGCTAACGGGGACTTTTGCCTCATGATAAACTTAAATTAAAATCATTAAATATAAATAATGATAAAAATGCAAAATAAAAAGGTTATTAAAACTTGAAGAAAAAAAATAAACAATGAAATATTAATTTAATAAATTTGATGAAGTACTGTACATTTACCTCATTACAGTAGCACAATAAAAATTATGATTAAAAAATAGAACAGATTTAAAAAAAAAAAAAAGAAGTTCCAGCAATTTAAGGTCATAAAACAAGATCAAAAGAAAAAAATGTATGAATGTTAATGAGTTCAAATTGATCTTGTGTTGAAATTAAAGCAGAGGTCCAGATTTGCTAAATTGCTTAATCTTACTCAGTTGTTGTTTGATGTACTGCAAATACACACATACAAGAATTCACACCTCCCCCCCCAATTCATACCATCACACTGTATGATACTGTAGTGTAACAGATGTTTGTCCTGTCCTGAATCTTCCAAACCACTAGGTCAACTCATCAAGTTTGAATACCTAAACTTGGTTTCTCCAATCTTTCACTAAGACATGTATTAACACTTAGATGGACATTAACATTATTGTTCATTTCTCATTTGATTATTATAATTAAGTACTTTTGTTCTTGACCTGGTTAAGTTTTGCATGACCTGTGTTCTTGATATGATGGAACACAGGAGAGAAGAGGAATAATTATAATCAGAATGAGACAAGTGTGAGAGCAAATTAGAGAGGATAAGAAATGCCTGAATTAAACTGAATAAAAGTTTCATGAAGTACTCACTGTCAAGATATTTATAATCAGTTTCTACTCTTCCAGCTCACCAAAACAAGCACTAAAATATACTGTGACATAGCATGACTGTTATTACAAACTATTTTCTTTTATATAAAAAAATTGATGATAGAAGTTGAATGCAACACACACACAAAACTACCTCCACACACCAACACTTAAATGACTTGTCTTTAAAACCTGCTGCCTTTGTCTTCTTCTATATCAGAACACACCGACAATTGAGGAAACAGAGCTTTGATTTATTCTGTGTCATGTTGTATGCCTGTCATTCCGACAAGAGTCATCAGACATTTTCAAAGATGTTTTAGTAAGGTATGATGAACTGTTTTTTCTTTGTTGGTGGATGGGAGTTTACTACTCTCTAATGAATCCACACACGTTCAACACTAGTACACAGAGAACTGTCTTTACGTTTAAAAAAATATAACACTTTATTCAGTAAACAAGTGTATGCTACTGTGCAACATGCCGTATTCCACAAAACCTTGTGCATGTCTGCATCACACACATTGACGCATGGAATATCTCACTACAGTGGGTAAAAACTATTCAAATGCACAGTTTTGCCTTTAAAATCGAGACTACCTATATGAACTGAATAGTGCAGTCTCGGAGCTTGGTCTCCATTCAAAGGAATGGTTTGTGTTAAAAGATTTGCGTTACTTTAAAATGTGTTTATATTAAGTTGTATCTACGAGGCTTGTATCAGAGCCATGGTCTCCTTTTAAAGGAATGGTTTGTGTTAAAAGATTTAGTCATGGAATATCTCACTACAGCAGATAGAAACTATTCAAATCCACAGTTTTGCCTTTGAACTCGAGACCACCTATGTGAACTGAATAGTGCAGCCTCGGAGCTTGGTCTCCATTCAAAAGGAATGGTTTATGTTAAAAGGTTTATGTTACTTTAAAATGTGTTTATATTAAGTTGATCTACAAGGCTTGTATCAGAGCCCTGGTCTCCTTTTAAAGGAATTGTTTGTGTTAAAAGATTTACTGCACTTTAAAATGTGTTCTATGTTACATGACCACAGGAAAAATAGATTGTTAAGAACTACTATTCAAATGCACAGTTTTGCCTTTAAAATCGAGACTACCTATATGAACTGAATAGTGCAGTCTCGGAGCTTGGTCTCCATTCAAAGGAATGGTTTGTGTTAAAAGATTTGCGTTACTTTAAAATGTGTTTATATTAAGTTGTATCTACGAGGCTTGTATCAGAGCCCTGGTCTCCTTTTAAAGGAATGGTTTGTGTTAAAAGATTTACTGCACTTTAAAATGTGTTCTATGTTACATGACCACAGGAAAAATAGATTGTTAAGAACTGTTTATAACATTCAATTTTTAGTGATCATGAGAGTTCTATGTTACATGGCCACAAACTACTGTTATACTGGATAAATGTACATTAGAGTTCTACTACAAATTAAGCCACATATTAACAAAAAAGAAACTACTGTTACATACATCTATGCAGATTTGGATGATTTTCTGTCAAAGTACACATAAAGAAACAATGAAGTTGCTATTGAATACATTACAAGTGAACAGTTTGAATTAATGCAAACTACTTTGGTAACTATGTGATTGCAAGTGGACTGTTTATATTCAATAATTAAATATTTTCACTGTTTTGTCACTATAATTTACTACTACAAGTCTCTGTGGGTGATATGATATATTTGTTGGATCTATTATACTGACAATATAAATGTATTAAATATTTACTTTAAAATTCTATGTTAAATTTTAAGTGTGCTTGAAGTGTCCCAAACAATAGAAGTGGGTTTTTCCAGACCTTTACTTTAGTCTTGTGATCTAGTATAGGCTGGTTTCTTTGTGAGTGCAATCAAGTGTAATTTGAGGAAATCTGCAGTCATTCAGTGGCTTTGAATTTCAATAGTGGATTGGCGTATTCCTTCCTAATAATGTGACAGAGTCAGGAACTATTGACATAATTGATGGGTCATTTAAAAAAAAAATTTTCATCAAATTCTTGTTTTCCGAATTCAACCACTAGAAGGACCCCACTAGAAATACATATAATTTTTTACTTTTTAATTGAAATTACCATTATTGGTGGGAACCTGAAACAAGGAGGAAAGTCTTGCCAAATGTACAAATAATGCAAAATTTATATTAAATTCTGTAGAGTATAATATGCAAATGTCAATTTAAAATGTACCTACTATAGCCAGAATAGAGAATCAGTTATTAGGAAGTGTATTCTGGTATTTTTTTTTACATGGCCACAAACTACTGTATACTGGATAAATGTACTTTAGAATTCTACTACAAATTAAGCCACATAAACAAATAGCAACTACTGTAAATACATCTATACAGATTTGGATGATTTCCTGTCAAAATACATATAAAGAAACAATGAAGTTGCTATTGAATACAAGTAAAGAGTTATGAATTAATGAAAATTACTACGGCAACTATATGATTGCAAGTGGACTGTCAATATTTAATAATTGAATATTTTCACTGTTTTGTCACCATAATTTACTACTGCAAGTCTCCTTGGATGATATGAAATGATGGATAATCCCTTTGGATTGTTGATTCCATCTTCTGGCTTATCAATTCTTTTAATGAAATTACCATCACTACTGAATAGCTGTATTTTGTGTTCACTTGATATAATGATGTTGTCATCCTGATCAACTTCTACTCCATATGGATACATCATCTTACCATTCTCATTACCTGCTTCAACAAGAACTTTCATGAACCTTCCCTCATTATCAAATAATTGTAATCTACTGTTGCCATACTCCAATACAAGAAGGTGTCCTTGGTTTGTAAGAGTAACATCAATGACATGACTCATTTGACTTTCTCTTGTGACTTGAGACCCATGTTTTTGGTGATCTTGACACATATTCATGTCAAACATGTACACACAGCTTTCGGTCAAGCCTCCTGCTACATACAAAACATTAGATAACTCATCCACATGAATACCACATGATAATCTCAGTACTCCCTTACCAATTGTGTTTATCACCTGGCCATCCAAATTACATATTCTGACAGGTTTCTGAAGATTTAAGTCGCTAAATGCTATGTTACCATTCTTCATTTTGTACATTCTTGAAACTTCCACACCTTGTGGTAGTGCAACCTTACCAATATATTCTCCTGATTGTTTGTACTTGAGCATTTCATTTGTCCAGCATGAAACCAGTAAGGAGTCATCTTCACACTTAACTACATCTTCAACACATTCTTTGTTTATTTGAATGGTATTTATCAATCCTTCTCTCTCTACGATGATTATCATTGGTGACTGCTTAATTGGTTCATCATCAACACTCACATCTAGTTTACAAACTCCTGGACTTGTGCATTTTCCTGTCACAAAATAATCTCCATTGTCATCTTTCTGAACTTGAGTGATGTTAATTTGTGTCCATGTTAGCTTCAGTTGATTTGCATATATTTCATGTTCATCCTTTTTGAGTATTTTGACAACGACTGTCTGACCTAGCTGGGCTCACAGATTGCTCGCCCTTTAATGTTAAACAGTCTGCTGCCCTCTGTGTTACAGTTCCAAAATCACATTGTTTCATTGAAGCCATTTTCTGTTTGTTTATAAAGAACTAAATTTGTCCATTATCATCTGGCTCTGTTTTTAGCAATATATTTATTCTCTCCTTCAGTGTTGTAATTACTGTTTCACTTGACTGCAATGCAGTGCCTTCATCACTATTCAATAATTGATTAAGAAAAGAGAGATTTGTATTTATATCAGATAATGCTGTTTTTAGTTCTTCCAGTTGTGCATCATTTACCTTCTTTTTTCTTTTGTAGATTGTCTCTACTTTATTTTTCATCTTGTCTCTATTCTCCTTTACTTTTTTGAATATTTCTTCCGCATGATTTTCTATATGTCTCTTATACACATCTAGATGTGTATAAGAGAC